AGTGCAACTAAGCTCACATAATCATTTAATCAAGGAAATCCCATTTCTAAAAATACTATGTACGTTTTTAAAAAAACTTAAACCGGGCAGCATTTTTGAAATTAACATAACATTCAATACAAAACTCTGATGAATATGATTCAAGTTGCACTGAAATTCTAACATATGTATCTACAATTTTTACGAAGACACCAAAAGCAAATAAGGTCGTGTACTAGGAAATAAATCATCAAACTTTCAAAACTGAGTAGCAGTAAAAAATCGAGAACTTGTAACCGACCAGACTTTAGTATTTAATAGATAGCTGGAGCTACAGACATGTTTTTAATGAGATTCAAAAACTAACTGATAGCTAACTCAAATGTCTACAGCTTTGCTGAATACCATATTGGCAAATAATTACTTTATAAATGAGTTTGGATACAAAATATTCGATTCATAAAGTCTGCCCGAGACTAAAGTATGATATAAACATCACCTCAGTATTTATCTTCTTAATCATGTTACCGACCTCTAAATTACATGGCTATAGTATGCTTAAAAAGCTAAGAGATAGCCCTACATCTTTCATTTAGAACTCAAAAGCAGATAAGGTCTTTAAGATGGTGTAAAATCTACTTACATTTAACATCAGTTTTCTGCCAAAGAGTAAAACCCTACTTCATGTATATCTACAATCATATGAACACAACTCGAGCTATAGATATCAACTCAGCATGAATCCTATCTCATTAGAAAGCTAATCAACAGAACTATAATGTTTATGAAAACTACAAATTCACTAGATCACATTATGACACCATAAACAGGCCAAACATTATATAGACTCATGCTGCCGGTTCTAGAAAAAACTGCTTGCGCACTCGTTTTATAAAAATCATAACTCACTCGATATAACTCGGATTCATGAAATTCCAAAGGCTAGAGAAAGGTAACAAGACGAACTATATTTCATATGAAGAACAAATTTTCAGAAAACAATTGCTTGAAGTCATAACAGAGGAACCTTACCTCCTTCAAGAAAACGAAAACGTGGTGAAATGAAAGAGGTGTTGCTCGGTTCTTCTACTTCTCTCCCTATCTTGCTTGAAATCCGATTTTCTCTCTTTTTGCTCAAGTTATTCAGGTTTTTAATTGTCTAATACAGCTAATGAATGAAACACAAGAACATGATAAGAGGGGACATAAGGTCTAGATCCCATCTAAACTTAAAACTAATATTTTACCAACACATGATGCCAAAAGAGAGTAACATGGTTCTCTAACTCATGCATGAGTATGGATTCGGTTTTGGTACTTAAAATGGCTGAAAAAAACTTA